CGAGCCCATCTCGTAGCTAGAGGCCCCGGACCGGCCCATTCCGCCTCCCGAGTCCATATCGTAGCCAGAGGCCCCGGACCGGCGCATTCCGCCGCCCGTGGCCATATCGTCGTCAGCAGAGCCCCTGCCGCCCATGCCCATGCCACCGCCGTGCCCCGTATTCCCGACACCAACGTGAGGCTGTTGCCGAATAGGATTGCCGTACTCGTCCACCCTCCTCATCTGGTTCCCATGCTCGTCCACCCTCCCCATCTGGTTCCCGTACTCGTCCGGTCTCCTCATCTGGTTTCCGTACTCGTCCGGTCTCCTCATCTGGTTTCCATACTCGTCCCTCATGCCCGCCATTGTTACAAATGAGTGCAACGCTCGACCTTGGAGACGCGAACTCAGAACACAAAGTGCACCACAACAGAAGAAAAACGAAGCAGCGACTGCGTTGAGGACGAGCGGTTGGGCAGCGTTATTTATAGGTGGTGGAGGCGGGTGTACGTGGTAGGTCGTGAGAGGGCGAACGAAACGTGGGAGGTCAGACGCCTGGGCTTACGGCCAGGATGACGCGTGTGGCACCACTCGCGCCAAAGAAGGCCCCTTGGGGCGACGCGTTGCTACTGGTGGTGGAGACACGTGGAGCACAGAGCCGCGATGGCGGTCTCCGGCCACGGCACGAGTCGTTAGGAAACTGGGATGCATGGTGGACCGACGGGTAGTCTCACGAAGAAGGCTTAAACTAACGACAGGACCCAAGTCACGACTCCAGGAGCGAAGGAAGTAGTACGCCACTCACTCTCTTTGGTCGATGGGATGGGATTGGATGTGAGTGCAAATAAATGATACGACACGCCCATCATCGGACACGGTTGGGGTGCGTGCGAGTCTCAACCGGGAGTTAACCAAATGAGTTCGACCTCTCACCTTCACGCCTAAGGCATGCTGCCCGGCAAGGGGCAGTGTGTCCCTTCCCTACGCATGGGTGTTCATTTCTTGTTTCTTTTTTCTTATTAGGCCTGTAGGTATTCTAGATTCCAAATGGATATTACGACAAGTAGTATTCGTCGGAAGACGATGCTAAACCATCACCGGGAAAAGGATAAGGTGATGTTCATCATTCTTGGTGCAAGTTAATCAGCACACAGGATCGTGAAAGCTTCCTTTCCATGAAGAAGGGAGGAGGAGAAGCTTCCAAGTAATTGACTACTTGCTGTCAACTAGTCAACATATTCCATCTACCACAGTCGGTTAACTTCAATCTGGTCAGAGTAGATACGCCTTCATACATCTAACTTGACTGTAAAATTGTCGGCCTCTTTATCAATCAATGACCTAAGCATCAATCGGAAGGCACCTCACTCCCACCCCACCATATAACCAATGAACACATTTGACAACATAACCTGTCAAAACCCCACCCCGCGAAACTATTGACATTAGTAAGTTCACGCAAAGGCCTTCTCATGCACGTACCTTTCGAATACACCCACAAAGATGCTAAACCACATGCATGGATAGCGCATCTGAGCAAGCCATTAACCGCACAGACGCTACAGTATCGAAGGACAAAGGCTGATGACATATATCAGACCATGCTACCTCCATCAAATCTTAAAGCAAAGATGGTGGGCGAACAACTACTGACAATGGACTCTGCTAATGTAACATTTTCCCAGATAAGTAGGGGCACAAAATGATAAAGAGATGCGTCGAAGGCTTCAAGAGATATCCAAGGCCTTGAACTTTGACTGCTACTTATCAGTACCAACCTAAACTGGATGCTAGCCTGCAATGATTTTCCCTTTCCCACATTCAAGTTTATATAGAGCGGAAAATCAAGAAATACGATGCTGAGTCCAAGGCAAGAGACGAATCAGCTAATGCCAGGAGCTTCGACCACATCAGCAGAAACAAGTGCTTGCCCTGTCTGTTTTCCAGCTTCTCGGAGAGAACATGTACATGCTTTCCCTGCTTGGGCACTCAAATAGTGACTACCATATGCGCACCCATGTTATGAAGGAACAATGCAAGGTTGCAATCACTCCCTCCGGCGTCTTTCCCAGAAACCTTTCTTCCTGTTAGCTTCACTTTCAGATGCTGACCATGAAGGTCTACCAAAAGAGAAACGTCGCCTCAGAAATGGCCTGCCAAAAGAAGATTTCATGTTAGAACTGGCCTCCATCCTGGGTCCTTCTGCAGCCCTGTTTTGGTGATCACAGAGTGCATCTGCCTGTGCATCACTGTCAGCTATTCCAATCCTAGAGAGTTTGTTTTTAGCCTTTGATTCAGCTTTCGTGAACAGCTTTAATGCCGCCTTTTCTCCATGAGTACAAACGGGGCAGGTTGGGTCATATTGGTCGATTTCACTCGTCATTTTCTCCAAACATTCAGCATGATAAAGATGTCCACAAACCAAAACAGCAACCACACAATGCTTTGTTAGCTGCTTTGAGCATACTCTGCAAGTTTGCTGATCAGGAAAGACTTGGGTTGTTTGCTGAGGATTCGATTCTGTTAATTGGCTGCTAAAGAAATTAAGGTTATCACTGTCGAACGACAATCTCTCTCTGTTTGAAGAAGCCACAAGCTCAGAGAAGGTACACATGGACCAGCCATCAGAAGACCCACCATGAGAACCTCCTGTGGACAAGTCATTGCTGCAGAAAGAGAGCACAAAGGATTTTCTTCCTTCAGGAGAGCTGTTCTCATTACGGGATTGCAGAGATGGTATCCTGCTGTCAGAGATCTGCCGACAGAGTTGGTAGCCTGGTGATCTGCATGCTTTCCTTGATGAAGTTGGATCAGAAGGTAGAGAACGGCTTCTGGAGGTTGATGGATCTGCTTTAAATGAAGATGAGGAAGGAGTTGAAGGCACTGAGATTGATAAATTGATATCTGAAGTGCTTGCTAAGCACGATGACTTGGGAGACCCCTTACTCTGAATTTTAAATAAGACAGCAACAATGAGACCAAGCTGATTCTACTTTAAGTTTAATCACTAGAAAGCTGATGTCAATTGAAACAAACTAGTTTTAGATTATTCATTCTCACCTTAGGGGATGAATTCCTTCCAAAGAATTGATCATCTGTTAGATGAATAGAACATTAGAAAAAAAATACAAAAAGGTAGATTTATGAAAAAATTACTCAAACAGACAACTATAGTATGTAACTCATATCCTCCCTCTCTCTCCAGGCAGAATAAAGACATCCACAGACAACTATAATTTGTAACTCATATCCTTCCTCCCTCTCTCTCTCTCTCCCTCTCCATCATCATCTTTAGAAATAAAAGACCAGTTTACTTATAGAAACAATACCAAATAAGTGCCCTCGTAAAAGTCCTAGAGATCAGCATTGCTAGTCTTAGCATTTGATCCAGATACACAGTCAGCACAAACACACATGGTACTACCACTTGTATCAGTTAAACTACTTAGCACCTAATTTTTTTTAGGAATAGTTTGTTACCGAAAATATCATAAGAGTATAGTTTTGTATTGTTAATCAAAGATAACATTTCAAGAAGCAGTTTCTCAACAAATTTGTCCTCGTGGTACTTCTTCCATCTTCGTGTACATTAATACTATGCAATTTACATTAACACCATCTAATTGTGTGCATGAGTAAAGATACTGGGGGTATGAAGTGACCCCTTCCTCCACATAATTCAACCCAAGCAACCCAGTGCAAATCACAAAGAAACTGCTTCAAATTATATAAAGATCAAGCAAGCAAAGAACACTAAGCACAAAAGTATTTGATCCCTTTGATCCTTTCCCAAGTTCTATTTCATCCAAAAGAAAAAAGAAAATCAAATGATGAGTGAAACCAAGGAAAGAGAATTATGTATTCTCTCTCTTTTCTACCATAATATTTGCACTTGATTCAGCTCCCTAACAATATAGTTGTAGAAAAACAACCCAAGAAGAAACATAGAAACCATATTGAAGACTAGTCCTTGCATCTCTATATTCCCAAGATTACACAGCTGATTTGTCCTCACGAACTACATACTATATCTTCCGAAAAAACATATGTACTATTTTAAGCAACCTTCAAATGTATCCTTCTAAAAAGTCTCAGACCAAATCAATCTACTGCTAATATTTCAAAAATAAATCCCAGTAAAACATCATCCACAAGCAGAATACCCTTTGGTATCTACAAAATGAACAATATTAATAAATTCTCCCAAAGCCTACCCAACTCTGCATATGCAATTTATTCAACTAATTTCCTCGTGCTTGCTATTCATTCTGCAGGAAAGGACCATAAAGGAAACAGTATGAGAAATCATTAGTCGAATCCATCTGCATTTGTATGTTTCCCTCCATTAGAAAATTCCAAATAAGGAAACCACTTGAGGATTTTTCTTGACAAAAGTAACCAGCAACCAGTATTATTCTCCTAACATACCATATTTCTCATGGATCCATTTACACCTAATGTTGGAGGATGTTTGATAACAAGATAGAAGGGTGTAACAGTTGGGCCATATAAAATTATACATGTGAATGACTACCTGGGGTGATTGACAACAACTTAATTATCTAGTTTCTAGATATATGCACTGAAAGATAGTATATAAAATGGTTGAGGCACAGCAAGCAACGATGAGTCACAATAAAATGAATTAGAAAGGAAATGACTACATGAGTTAAAGCTGTCAAAGCATGCAAGCATCTTGAAGATGTGTGTTTACTGTGAAAAATCAGATTCGACAAATCTAGAAGTATCATTTTTTTAGGCATATATACATCCAAATAGTACAATGAGCTATTAGAATTACCAAACTTTTTATATGTTTCCCTGCCATAAATGTTATTAGTAACTAATTAGTTGCAAGAACATAGAGTGAAAATGCATCTAGCACTACTGATGACAGAACAGGACAACAAGCATCACAGTATGACAGATGTCTGCAGGAGCATGGCACGCTATTACTTACGATACCAAGCAAAATTTATAAAACTACCAGTTCAAGATTTAATTTTTGATAACAACAAGGCCTTCCATACAGTTGTATGTATGCAACAGCAATTTCTGTATCAAGGCATGGATTATACTAGCCATAAAGACAGTTTATATGTTGAGATAGAATCCTGATCAACTTCTATACATCTGGATAAGTAGAGAACAAAGGAGATTTAACATTAACTCCATGCATAAAAAAAAAGTAGACGTTCAACTTCCATCTCAATACTTTCAACAAAGCAACTCTATCACTGCATTTCTATTACCTATATCCTCTTCTTTAGCAAAGAAAAATATGTAACTATACTAAACAAGGTCGAAGAATTGTTACATACCTGCAGCAACATCTTTTAACTTCCCAGCAGTTCCAGTTCTACTTGGAGATATATGCTGCTTTTGTAACTGGAAAGCATTTGATGGACTACCACTGTCAGAAGGACTTTCAGCCTCGGTGGGTGACTCGCTTTTAATTTCAAGTCCAGTATTCCCACTATGTTGATGACAAAATTGAGCAGCATTATCTATCACATCCTCTATGTGTGTTCTGTTGTCCCACCGAAAGCTCCATGTGGGGGAGTGTCTTACAGTCCTATATGTTGAAACATCAAACTGAGCTGGGCTAGGCAAGTGTTTGTCTTTCACAGCCACACAGCAATTGGCCCCCATGTTGGTCCTGATACTGATTTTCACTAACGACTTAAGACTAAAAGTCCTATCAATAATATTTACAAATGGAACCCGTATGTTTCTTCTCCATCATGCAGAAACTTGAAAAAGAACAAGGCATCTAGAATCTCCAGCTGCTCCTATCATGAGAAAATGCTTCCTAAGCTGACGCATACCCATAAATGTAAACTGATAAAAATATTTATTTAAACACACACAGATTCGTTACTGTAAAAGGATTCTTTAATATATTATAGACCATCAAAGATATGCGCTAAAACATAAGGGTAAACTAAAAAAGTACTACGTTAGGCATGCGGCATCATATGAGAAATAAAGAGTAAATGACATAAATGAAGCAAGGAAAGAAAACCTGATTGCTCTATCCAGAATGGACTATGATCGTTTTCTTCTTACTAATTGACCATTACAATGACGAGAAAAATTAGAAGAAAAGAAAGGAAATGTGTGCTCGTCACGCATCAAACTAGTATGAATATCAGTCAAATTTGTAGTACGCAAAGCCTCCAACCTTTTGTGAACTTAGAATTCAATGTTCCCATCCATTAATTTATTGGAAGCAGAAAGAGAGGATTAAAGATGTGCAGCTAACCAAACAAAGGATTTGTAACCCACGAGAAAGGGATTCTTTTATTTTAAATTAAATAGTTCAAATCATCACTAAGGAGTTAAAAAGTAACTAAAAGTGATTAAAAGATGTATCGACCCAATTTCACACGGAAACCAGTAGAATTAGAACTGTGTCACCGCTGCTCCTTGAAGAATCGTTACAATCTATACACACACACACACACACAAAAGGAGGATTGGAAGTAAACAATTCCAGTGAAATTTCAATTTCTACGATTCAGTAGCTTATGATTACATCTGAAAACCAACAAATAGAAGATAAAATCCTAAAATAGCTAGATTTCTTGAAGCGAAGATGAGTTGCTTCAGATGGGATGCCACAAGGAAGTCCAACCCCCCATCGCCTACTTAGTCTTTCCCCAAGTACAAAAAAAATCCAGCGACAATCTAAATTCTATTAAACGACAGAACCAAAGAATCGCTAAACTCTAGTTAGGATTTTCCGTTTCTTTCATAAAGAAAATAAAAATAAATACGAATTCCTTTGTTTGTTTGTTTTCATGAGAATCGAGCGTAGTACCTCAGAAGCTGAAGAAAACCCGACTGATGAGTGAAAGAAAGCACAATAAGTCGAGCATTTGGTACCTGGAACCCCGGGAGCATCAGGTCGATCAGGCCAACGCAAGCTCAGCTGCCGAGAAAAACGCGGCAGGCATCGAGATCAGCCGACGAAGCTCGGGATCGAACCCGAGAAATCCTCAGCTCTCCACAGGTCGCAGAAAAATCGAGAGCAGACCCGAGGATCGAAAAACAAAAACAAGTTGGGGGTCCTGATCTCACCGCTTGTTTCGCGCTTTCTAATCCGCCTGCATCGCTTCGTCTCCCCTCGCCTCGTAGGGTTTGAGAGAGAGACGGAGAGAAGGGGCCGGAGAGGTGGGGGATAAGTTGCTGGGGTTGTATGCGATAGACTGGAGGGAGTTCTTCCTCGGAATGAGCACGAAGAGATCGAAACCCGTTTTATGAACCACCCCGTATGTCGGCATGCACAAGCGAGTCGGGATGAACCAACACTGACGACTGTCACGGGTAACGTGGTTGCGTCGCTGGATGGGGGCCCGCGTCTCGCTCACCCTCAGTTCGGCTAGCGTGGGTGACTCAGCCTTGCTCGCCGAGGACTTATCGACCAACCGAGATCCATCATTTTCCAGCACGCGGATCCCAGTGATACTCGAATGATACACGTAAATACCAAATGATGTTGAAACAATATAAAATTATGTGGTGGCCCGCACAAATATAGAAAATGATAAATATTTTTTTCCCCGATAATGGTTTTAGAAATAAGATAAATAAATAAAATTATTGAAAACATCTGCATCCACATGTTCATATATACTGCTTAACGCAGGATGGCTTATTCAAGTAATCCATTTATAAGGAGACTCGGTGGGTCATTTTCATATCTCAGGCTCCAATTCTTACTTTTGACCACATCGCCAATGAGACATCACAAATCCGACCTAATCTAGTTCAGGTTATCACTGAACCAGATTTGTGATGTTTGAGATGAGTGCAATGCAGTCGGTATGGGCCAGTAGATTCATGAATCTTCCAGTCATCTGTAGGGGAAGATGAATCTGATCATCAAAAGCAGCTATAGCTCATAATAAGATCCGAGGTGACAGACCTGCAGCAAAAGCAGCTGCATTGGACGAAAACACGATACCGTATTGTACTGTAAGTGCTTCATGGCAGAGAAGACTTGGTGCACCGAGCTGTGACGTTGTGAAGGGAAGAGTGGATCGTGTTTTCGCTTGTTTAATTCTTCCTGATATTGACCATGATTCTTTATCCTTGACATAAGTTGGATCATACGTTCACAATCTAAGAGAGGTTAGTACTTCTTTATCTCTGTCACTCTCCTTAACATCAAATGCTCTCTTCCCATATGATCACCTAGAAATCTTTTATAATGTAGATGATACACCAGAAAGTTCTTGCTGACATATTTTCCATACATCACTTGAAGACTGGGTGGAATCAGGAAAACATTTGCGATGTGGAATCTTCTGCGGTTTATCTGTTTCTAGATGAGTGAAACAGTAGTGACAAGTTACACTGCAAGGGCTTGTATAGCAACATGTAATTGGAGTTTTCTGGACGCACGTAGTAGACGCAAAGGGCTTCATTTACTCCTCCATTTGCACGCTGTAAAGAATTCGGATGTACGTAGTTGAATCAGAACTGTGCGCAGGTGGTGTTTGATAGAAGATAAGATTTCCCCAACTTGATAGAGGATAAGATTTCCCCAATTATATGAGGAAATCTCTCTATTCTGTTTATTCTGTTGAGGGAAATCCTTCCTCCTAATCTGTATAAATAGGAGAGGGAACATGTTAATAGATTTAAGCTAAAGCTATTTCATTTCTACAATAAAGCTTTTTCAATTATTGTTCTTATCTTCTATTATTTCTATCATGGTATCAGAGCAACTTGCCTAGAGCAAGCTCTCTTCTCGCTGTCAATTCATCATTGATAAGATTTCCCCAATTATATGAGGAAATCTCTCTATTCTGTTTATTCTGTTGAGGGAAATCCTTCCTCCTAATCTGTATAAATAGGAGAGGGAACATGTTAATAGATTTAAGCTAAAGCTATTTCATTTCTACAATAAAGCTTCTTCAATTATTGTTCTTATCTTCTATTATTTCTATCATGGTATCAGAGCAACTTGCCTAGAGCAAGCTCTCTTCTCGCTGTCAATTCATCATTGGTGTTGCCACTCTGCGCCAACGTCCGTTCCCTTCCGCTACGGCATCTCTAGTGCTGCTCATCAGCACTGCCCCACCTTTCTTCCTCGTTGTAGCTATTTTCCTTCCTCTTCTGCTACAGCTTCCTCCTCTGTTGCAGTTTCCTCCTTTGCTGTAGTAGCATCACTGCAACATTGCTGTAGATTTCTTCTCTACCGTCGCAGCCGTCATAATCGCAACCACGACCAACGTCGTTGAGAAAAGCGAAGCTTCGCTCTTGCCTTCGGCCAGCGACCAACGTCGTTGAGAAAAGTGAAGCTTCACCCTTCGGTCAGCGACCAACGCCGTTGCATTTCTAAGAGGCTCCGTGGTCAATCCTTATCTTCCTCACCGCGGTAGTCTTCACTAATCTGTCAACATTTGGCAGACTTAAGGAGAATGAAGGGAACGCCTGTGCCATCATAGCAACAGCAATTGCAGCAGCAGCAGCAGCGATCTACACTTATCTTACTCACGAAGCCTCTTGCTTTAAACCATTTTTTGCACCGATCCAAGATTGGTATCCTTGTTAGGAGCACCATCTTGCGGGGGCATGATAGAAGATAAGATTTCCCCAACTTGATAGAGGATAAGATTTCCCCAATTATATGAGGAAATCTCTCTATTCTGTTTATTCTGTTGAGGGAAATCCTTCCTCCTAATCTGTATAAATAGGAGAGGGAACATGTTAATAGATTTAAGCTAAAGCTATTTCATTTCTACAATAAAGCTTCTTCAATTATTGTTCTTATCTTCTATTATTTCTATCAGTGTTGACATATGGAGTTTTCGTCCGACAGCAATTCGTTTGTTGTGCTATATTTTCTTTCGTCAACCTCGTGTAACTCAATGCTGAGATTGTATCCAGCAATTACCCACCAACTGCGCATGCAGCGATATATCAAATGGCCACGAGAGCTAACTTCATGACACATGAGAAGAGATCAACCGGTAGTACGTACAGCTTTTCTTCTTTGGAGAAAGAAAAGAAGTGGGGAGAGAGAGGCCTGTAATCGAGTTCATGCATGGCAGACGAAAAGTTTTATTACATGTGGAATATTTAGATCACCGGCATATACTGTAGCATTTAGTGCAGTTTGCCTCGAGACGGATGACATATATGGACATATACGGGTGCGGAAGAAGAAGCAGGAGCACAGATTAAGCTGCGTCTCAAGACAAGAACTCTAGTCGATACATCTATAGCTAGCTAGGGACCCTATACTTCAACAAGAAACATCCCCAAGTTCTTATACCTATGGCATTACATATACTGACGGATTGATTACCGAACCATTTGTTTCTCGGGACCAAGCGACGTCGATCAGTTTGGTATGAGCTTGAAAGGAGGCTTGGAAAGAGACGGAGAAGGATCATAGCTTCCATAATCATTTGTCTTGATTTTGAGGATCCTGGAACGAACGATGAGGACTTGTTCCTGGTGCGGTTCATTAATCTTCGCTGATTCCTGCCGCCATGCATGCAAAAGCTTTGTCAGCAACGAACGTATGAGGAGATAAAAGCACTGCGTAATTACTCATACGGCGAAAGGGAATGTAGAGCTAGCTTATCTTGTCTCTGCCCGAATCCTTCCATGTCTATATCATGATCGTATGAGGTTATTATAGATCATCAACTAGATAGTACTATACTCTTTTCCTTCTCAACGGATTTCATAGCCACCACTATGGTGTCTTGCAGACCTAAGATGTATGATCTCTTCTCGATGATAAGGAGCTCAAATCACGAATTAGGTTTTGGCTAATGTTGCCTCGACTTATTACCTCAGCGAGGGTGGAAGAAGAAAACACAAAGCGCAAATTCTCTACTCGATACCTTCGTTATCGCTCCCGCTGGTGCTGCATATTTACCATAAAGTCTTCTCTGCCGCCCTGCAAAATCGATGGAAGTGAAGAAACAAAGAAGCATGTATAGAATACATAACCCATTTTTATCTTTTTCCTACTACATTTCTGCAATTCGAAGGACATGCTACTGCTGCGGCAGTAGCATTTAGGATCTATTATTTAAGAATCCAGAGATAGAAGACAAGACATGCATGCTTGTACATATGTATTGGATTATCCGCATCCGCTGTAGTACTTGTCGTATATGTAAGCGCTTCACAACGAACATAAGAGCTGCCTGCAATTAGTAGTAGAAAATCGCAGGAGACCTACCTGCCAGTGCAGTCGAAGGAAGCGAAGCCAGTATGACAAGAGAGAGGACGGCGAGCTGCTTCGTTCCCATGAAGCCCATGATGAAGATCTTATCTTCCCTGTCGCAAGTTATTTCCTCGGGTGGCCTTCTCCTTCAGGAGCATATAGAGAAGAAGCAAATGCTTCCTTTCGGTTTGAATAGGGAGGATGCACCTTCTTCTGTAATCGGTTGGCCAACAAGTCGTGGGGGAGGATTAGATAGTCGATTCTTTATACGTGACAATGCGAATCCCACTGGACTCTCAGCTCCAAATGATCAAAACAGAAAAAGTAGAGAGCCGGCACTTTCTCCATGGAGCCGCTTTAAGAATGTAGTCATTAGAGTTGGTGGATGGCCATGTTATCCTATAAACTAAAGGCCATTATTGACGACTCTCTTTATCCATATATATATCCACGATGATTCCCGCAGCGCGTAAAAATCATCGAGATATGCAGCAACGCTGAAACATATATGGCTTCGAATTAAGGCATCGACCACACAATAATAATAAGCATCTGACTTGCAGGATCATCTACTGTTTGCTTGCTTAAAAGGAAAGCCCAAGTTTCTCTACCCTCTTCTCTTGCATCATGAATTAGTTGCTTGCTGGAGTGCGTTGATACATATTGCATCCAAGATTTTATAATGATAAGAGCTGAAGTGCGCTTCCCAGGCAACAAAGTGGCTTCGAAGTGCTACTGCAACGAGGCCAATATAAGAAGATAAAAGAGGATGGGATGGGTTGGTGGGGGTGGCGACGGGCGCGCTTTAACCTTTGGAATTGTTATGTCCGGAATCAAGAGGAGGACAAATGAACTTAGTGGATGCGTAGTGCTCGAAATCATGGATCACGACAAGGACATGGGACCAACTACACACTATGAGAAGACAATGGTGGAGGATAAAGACAGACACCACAATGTGTAAAGTTACCGGGATATGGTATCATAATGCCCAGCTTTAATGTGGTTTTATTAAGGGCACTTTGACCATCATAATTATCTCTCCCAGATGACTCAGCATGTAATGTAATTAAAATCACGTCACCGCTGGTGATCCCGAATGGTAGAAACTATATCGTATCATGTAAAGTACCCCCGACAACATGCTCTGTAAATGATGACTGGCTTATAGACATGAGCATAGCTTGGAGCATGAGATGAGCGCAGCTCGACTCCTGGATTCCACCAAATGGAATAATCGTTTTATAGACCGAGATTAATGGATAAACTGGCTCAACAGACAAATCTTTGTGAATCCTACAATGGTTAGCTAGTTAAAGATAAAAGGGGCTCCCGTAAGAGAGAGAATGGTGGTGTTCGTGGCTGGATACGTGCATTCAGCCTGAGCAGACACAGGTCAAGATGGTCCAGAGAGAGAGAGAGAGGCTGTGGTGTACTTGGAAGAACAAATACCGAGAATGAAGCATGACAATCGTAGAAAGGGGTAATCTTTACAAACACACTTGGAAGGGAAGGCATGGAAGCCTCGAGAGAGTGTTCGCCGTCGACGATGTAGGAGACCTGGTGGACTTTCCAGGGTTCGGGTCAAGGAAGTGGCTTGCGGAAGTAGATCGATCAGGGATAGACCCGCTGCCCAACCCTGCCTTTTCGTGCATATTAGACAGGCTTTCGTCTTAGTGGGCTGAGCCTGGAATGTACCTGCATGCATACTAGACAAGCTTGCATCGGCCCGACTAGTCCTCCTCGAATCTTACATATATAGATGCAGAAGCTGATATTTTCTTTTCTTCATGTCTTTCTTTCCTTTAAGCTTCGGATCGTGCTAAGGTAGAATTGACAGAAGTCGAAGAAGATGCTTCGTCCTGCATGACTTAGATGAGCACTGTGTCCACAGCCCACACTCATTTCACCTAATCCTAGATCAATATAAGGAGGTGTGGTGATTACGTTTTGAGGAGAAATTTGTTGTGTTTTTTGGGTAGAAAAGGGTAACAACGTGGAGATCTTTGCAGCAGCAAAGAAGAGAAGAAAAAGATAGAAAAATAAGAAAAAGAAAGGAAAGAAAATAAGGACAACACAGAAAGGCTATTCTCAATCATCTAATAGTGTTCTTATCTCAGGTTAGATTAAATCTACAGTAGACTCTTGCTGTGATTACTTGGGAAGGTTTTAGATATTGTGGACAGTAACGTGATCCTTGTATCCTAGTTATTCTCTTGTGATTGTTGTTAGGGTTTAGGGCATGAAATTGAGATTTATATATTCATTATTCTTATAGTAAATTATCTATAGTTTAATCCGTCGTTTTTACCCTTCACATTGGAAGGATTTTTCACGTATATCTTAGTATTATATTTGATTATGATTTTATTTAATTTCACTACATATTATGATCTACTAGTATTTATTCATATACAAAAATTATTTCATTTTATATCTCATCACCAATTTCCGGTGTTGAGCAGCCCACATGAAAAGATAGTATATGCACCATATTTCGAACCGTCATCGGAAACCACCGTCTTCTTTTTTGTTGCTAGCTACAAGACGTCCAACAACAACGACGCCTGCCCTGCAGACGCCACTGTTAGACAACATGCAAAAGGATTCCGAGACACTGTGGTAAACGTTTGCCTTCGTTGTCCTGATCAATCAGCAGGCTCCCAGTGGCCAATATATAATATAAACTACATACAACCAAACCATAAGCACTTGTCCACCACCATCAGCTTTTCATCCTAACTCGATCAGCACGGCATCAAAGTCCGAAGAAGCTCGTCCTTTTGCCAATGATGTGGCTACATTCGAAATCCTCGACCGAACTACTCGATCCAATAGACAATCGAAGGTAGGAATTAGCCGTGCCCACCCACGCATGCACGTCTTAATCACTATGTACATTATTGCGTGCAGCCAAATCCGATCGAATTAAGGGAGGAACGAAGACACAAGTAAGTGATGGCATCATGTTATCATAGCACCCCTCTGCTATACCGACCGTAGGTGTTGCGAAATCAAAGTTCCACCCGGCCGAGTTAAGCCCACGACGACCAATTCCACAACCACGAACGGCGAGTGACACATCATATATATATATGTGTGCATGTTGCAGAGTGAAAGCCGATTACCCCACCAAAGATAGTTTAACATTGTTTTAATGATTTCGTATGAAGGAACTTGGAGCACCTGACTGTTTGTTTATATTATATACACGAGAGAGAGAGAGAGAGAGAGAGAGATAACATTACGAGGGATCACGCTTACTAGCTCCGGATACATGAATCAGGACATGCGTATATACATGCATACATTACTTCTCTTAAGCCAATTTCACCTACACTTTCCGGCATTCGATCGCACACGGGAAGTGAATGACACCAGCGTTGGGTAGGAGCAATGGAGCAGGCCGTACAGCGCCCTCTTATGGCATCGTCTAACAGTAGTGGAACATGTCAGAGGAGGCGGTACAAATGGGCTGCTTCTCACCCACCATGCTCCATGTCCTCGCCAAGCTATCGGACGTCTCACCAAATGCGTCAGAAACCCAGTCAGTGCCGTGCATGCAGCGTAGGACTAGGATCTGGTTCAGGGATTGCAGCGTCGCACCGAGTTCCACGGTTTGGGCCCTGAGCACGGCGTTCTGGGCTTCCATCTCCGCGTAGTGCTGTGTGGTGATGCTGAGGGCGGTCAGGATCTGGCTGTTCTCCTTCCTCAGCTGCCTCACCTCAGCCGTTAGATCCTCCAAATGCTTCTGTTTCCTCATCCTGGACCGGCGCGCCGACTCCCGGTTCGACACCATTCTCTTCTGCTTCCTCTGGTTCATCAAAGCCTGCTCCTGCTCCGGCTGCGACTTGCCAATCTGGCTCCAACCACAAGATGTATCACCGGGAGGGGCCATGAGAGCTAGCTAGCTGTATTCGCTCAACTGATCGGGACTCTTCTTCTTCTTCTTCTTCTTCTTCTTAATAATGTAATAATAATGAGAATTATGCAAAGAGCAGCAGGAGATGGAAATTGAGCGGAAGAGTATAAGCAGGCAATAGGAAAAAAAGAAAACTATATAGAGATATAGATGCTCTGATTTCAGAACAAGTTCATGAGAAAACGTAGAACCAGTAAAGGAACACCACGGATAAGGATTGAACCAAATGCGTCCTGCGCCTGAGTGTGGAATTTATCGTAAACCCCGAGAGCAGGATCTCACTTAGGATAGGCGTCATCTAAGGGAAACATTAAGACGAACCTGTGCTGCATGTGATGTGACAAGAGGAAGGAAACAAGGGCTGAACAGATAAGAACGGAAGACGAGAGATTCAACAAGCAAGATCAGATTTTGTTATTGATTTTCGAAGAAGGAGCGATTTTTTGGCACCAGCAGTCACGAAGAACTTAGATTAAGGAGGAACATCGGTTTTGCGCGGATCAAAATCCAAACTCCAAGAGAAGATCCCGCAACAACTCCTTTTAATCTACCATAGGAAGAAGAAGAAGAAGAAGCAGAATGGATGGAATAGATCGAGCAATTTTTTACGTCGAACACAGGAGGAAGAGAAGAGGAGAGATGAACAGGGGAAGCGAGCACTTGAGAAGCTGGAAAAGGAGAAAAGGGTGGTGTAAAGGGGAGGAGAGGGGAAGAGGGCTTGGGTGACCAAGAAACTGGGATTTATAGAAGCAAATCAAGTAGGTAGCATGCATATATCGAAGAACTATACGGAAGAATACAAAGAAGGCCATGCGTCTGTGTATGTACTTGGAAAGGGAAGGAGAGAGCGAAAGACGTTTTGGAATCTACTGGGCGGGGGGTGATGAGGCATGTGTGGGTGGAATGGATCTTCCGCGAGAATCCAATTCCAGCTGGCCACCACTGCACAAAGCACAGTGCGACTAATCAACCGTTCTGACTTCCCTGCCGTATCTGTTGCTTATTTAATCGCTTTGTTTTTCTCAGGACGATTAAATAAATCATCACAAATTATATATCGGTTTTTCTTGGTAGATACACGGCATCATTGGCTCTTGTAATTTGATGCATATTAAACTTCATTGCCTGCCTTGAATCCGTGTAGAATGAGCTCTTCCCTTTGTTTTCATTTGTGTCATAAATAAAGAAAGAAGGAGACAGAGAGAGAGAGAGAGAGAGAGAGAACAAAAAAAGGCACACGAGGGAGAAGGTGGGGGGATCTCATGGATGGGTTCCCATCCGATTGGCCGGTTCCATGTACATGGAAAGTTGGGGGAATGCGTCCTCGTGAGGGCCATGGGAGGGCGTGCTATGTCCCAGATGTCTTTTCAGAGTGCTCTCAGCTCGTCGGAGGATGCAAGCGGCAGATGTCGGTATTCGGTGGCTGCAGGACTGGCTCGTATCCTGGAACTCCACAAAGCCTGTGAACCAGACGATACGATTTGCGTGGGACACGAGGGATTGAAACAGCCAGCTTAATTTGGATAATAGTCTTATCATCATCGGCCGGGGATCTCTCTACCCACGTTTCGAGGTCATAGAGCCGAAGACGAATGCCACGGATGACGAGGGTCGCGCATGCACATATATAATAATACTACGTTTCTTTCTTCTTTGGCGAAGCAAATTGGCAAAGAATATGCAGTCGTTCGACGCTGCTGATGATTCGTCCCATAGCATTTAGCTCTGACGTAACACATCAACAGCGACAAGCTTCGCATGCATTGCACCGAGCGCTGGAAGAATCGCCTGCAGGTGCCGTGAATTCCTAAGCTCTTGCTCTAACGAACCAAGTGGCCATCTCCAATATCACGCACACGCGCCATCTCTATGTTAATGATAAGTGTGGAACCCTTCGTCTGCTCCTTACCAACTCCGCCGATATCCCATGGAATGTTGTTGAAGTAAGATGCTTCGGCGACAGTGTGGAATGGGCGTCAGATACTTAGTTTAATGAAAGATCATCTACCGTCAGGACAATATAACATGTGTAAATAGCAATGTGGTTTCTCATGTTAGATCTCTGTCGACTTCATGTGGTCATGGAATATAATATTCTTCACTGCTGTCCTTCCTGTGTCACGTGATATTCTTTCACCACATGGTGTCACGTTCAATGATCTCCCACTTCGAATAGCATCAACATGAGCTTTCGTTCATGCATGTGAATTGGTCTCTGACTCGTTGGTTGCAAGTACTACTGGCATAGAGTAGCCTTCCTTGCAGGAAAGCGTGGGCGAAAGATGCTTCATCGTCATCATCTTCATCACGAGGGGCAGGCAGCTTTAGTGCCATGGCATTAGTACTCCACCCATTTTACCATTTGGTGTTATATAGATACATATTTGTCTTCGCATTTCATGTACTATACGGTTGACTGTTTGTGCCACTTCCCTTTGGTTGCAGTTTCCGAGGATCCAATCCATGAACTCGAGAAAGTAAAAAGTTCCCCTTGTGTGCCCACTTGCTAGTGTTGAGAGCCACTGCACACCTTCGTCTTTCTTGCTGCTCCATCCTTCAGTGCCCTCGGTAGTGGGCTTGTGGACTTCACTGCACTCAGCCATCCAAGGAAGGAAGCTTCCGCCTCCTCGTCTATCCCACCGACCAAGGAAGAGAAAATTGGTGGCTGCACAAGCTATTCGATCACAGTTTCTTCCGATTCACTGTCGGCCTATTGTCATCTCGAAAAAGTGAGGTGGACTCCAGTAATAATTAAAACGACCTCGAAATAGAGAGACGGATGTGTTCAAGCCCCTGCCTTTTGCTTCGAAGCAAATAGAGAGCTAGCGAGCTTTCATTGCGTCCATATGGTGGGTGCACTCGGCGACGCCGGTCAGAGAAAAGAGATCAGGGGTGGCCTTGGTCATTCCTCATTGTTTGTCCCGTTTCTTGTGTACACAATATGATTAGGTGCTTGTGCTGTTGATCCGAAGGAAGGTGGGGGGTCGAAGTCGATGCTCTACGCTCACGATAATGGTTGTTTTGCCAAACAGGACTAATCATGTTACGACTCAGGTTTTCACCGTGCTCTGCGTCTGTGCCTGCGCTTCCGATCATTGGCTTCAGTCAACCGCGCGGTTCTTGAGGATTTTTATTGCTTTTGCTTTAGAATTTAGTTGTTCTGGAAAGAGGGAGTGAGAGAAGGCTGGAGAATGGGAAGCGCGCATGGAAATAGATATCTTTGGAGAAACTTTCATTCATATTTCATTCGTAGGAATTCATTGGACCTTTTCCAACTTGCCACACCGTCCCACAATCCTCTCCTTTTCAGTGTCGAGTGCCCAAGGAAAAAGACGACGAGACTCGAACCTGCACATTTACATCGCGACGTGTGCACTTGTCCGGCTGACGCCAGTGAAAAGAGGAAGGTGGTGTCAATTAATTGCATGCAGAGATCCCAATGGACGCACGCCGACCGCAGCACAGCTTTGGTGCTTTGCCATCCGAGAAGACCGCTCCCCTCAGGACAAAAACACAAGGCGGTGACGGTGCCGCCCGGCCCCCGCCATCGCACAAACTCGCCCACCAATCAATATTTTCTTGGATTGGATCATCTTTTTAGCTCCCCTGTGGCTTGCCCATGGCCTCCATCGTTGGCACCTCCGTGATCCAAAACGAGGTAACGCACAAGGTGGGGCCACCGCAGGGCCCATCGGTTCATTTTCTTAGTCTACGTGATCTTCGAATTTGGTCTTCCCAACTCGATCTCAGTATCAGGTCGGCAGTAAGTTAAATCTCCGATTCCCACAACAATAATGATAAAACAATAAAAAAAATTTATATCAAGAAACAAAACAACGTGGCAATTTTTTTCCTATAATCATGTAATAATTCGAAGCAGGAAGCAAATGCCATACGAATCCGAAGCTGCTTTAAATTCAAAATGCAAAACGATCAACGTGATTTATTTAGCTATTAAGGAAACCTTTTATGATTAGGTTTTGAAAGCCTCTGTCTCCTTTCCCATTTAACTTGAATCCGAGAACAAATGCAAAACCATCCATCCAAAATGTTCTTTTGTATTATTATCAAAATTATTATTCAGTTTTAGCTGCAAAGCAGCTAATGTGTAGCAGCCGGAAACTAGTGGGGCGTAATACTGAACAAAAATGACCCACACGGAAACAAACGACAGAGAAATAAGAGATCAAAACTGCAGGCCTGTAGGGCAGAAATCTCGCAGATCTTATACACCTTCAACTATAAATATGAACTTTTTGTTAGAAGAAAAATTCTATCGACTAAGCTGATTATTGTGATTTGTCTTTCCTTTCATTGTTCAGGACCAGTAGTCAGATCACCATCTGGGGGATTTGGCCTTGGTGAAGGAAGATAGGACCAAGCAATGGCAGCACCACCAAGGGTAATAGCGACACAAATTGAGCTCCAAAACCACCTCTGCCGTCTCTTGCGCTTGATGCTTTGTTGTCGTGCCAGTCCTGCATCACAGGTGTTAGCAATGATCAAAACGAGGAATGCTTTTTTTTTTTCTTATTACTTATAAATGCTTGTTTTCTTATTGCTTATAGTCAGCATCGCTTGTTCAAATCTCATGACTTTAATAGGTTGCACATATGGGTTACTTCCCGAGGGCAATGGGTTCAAGAAGTCAGCACGTGAGAACAACAATACTTCAAAAAGTCAGCATCCATGCAGTCAGTTAAATTATCACATATGAATAAAATATTACCTGCTTTGAACCTAAAAATTAGCTCTAGCTAGTTAACATCCATCAAACAATGAATAAGCACTAAAAGCAAGACATCACATAAAAAGCTAACATGTGCAAGCAAGAAAAAAGAGATTAAACAGCTCCATAGAAAACTATGACTATGTCTCGATGCTACCGTGGTTCCAGGCACTTCCATTAAATATTTTGCATAAAGCCTAAAAAAAAAGGAACAAGAAGAAATTAATTGAATTACCACTCTGGGCATACCTTTGTTTATATGTTTATCACTAACTTCAAGTTAATACAAGTTTAAATCTAGGTTTCAAATTCTACAAAAATAGAATATATTTTCCTTTCTTGTGTTTCACCACGGCTATAGGATGATGAGCAAGAACTATATACTGAGAAATTAAAGAAAGGCAAAGCCAAATAGGTAAGTTCTCCAGAAACTAAAGAAAGTTTCCATCCACCATCAGATTCCAAACTATATCAATCTCAATGTAGCAGATGTTGCCACTCATACCTAACAAAGCCCTACCACGCTGGTCTATTTATATAATTTTCATATGCATCAATTATAAAGCAGACATGATGACTAGAAAGCAAAACAATAGAGTGCACGAATGAAAACACATAAATCATTTCAGACTGTTTCACAAAGTCAAACATCATTGAGATAAAACAAATAAAATAATTAATAATAAAGTTCAGCTTCTCACCGACTGCCTCTTGATTCCACCGAGACATTTCTCTATTTGCAGCTTCATAATAATGGAGTCGATCCAATAACCTAGCGATCTCAAAATTCTTTGATGAAATTTGGGATTCCATCTTTGATTCAACCTCAGCACGGGCGCAACCCCGCCCGACAGCATCAGCCACAGAGCGTGCAACAACTATCTGTCGAGACAACTCCTCTGCAGGATCCAAGTTTACCTGTGCACCCATATCCTCAGTGGCAATCGGAGGAAGAGGAAGGCTAAAACCTACAAGCGACAGATGATGAGAGAGTCTGTGCCAGTGGTTTTGCAAATTCTCCAGCTCTTCTTCAGCTTGCTTCCGCTTCTGTATTTCCATCAATAAACTAAGCCTCATCTCACGCAGTTCATCTTCAATGTTCCGATAGGAAGATTGTGATGTACCATCACTAGAAATCTCTACAACAATGAAAGGAAATCAAATAAGTCATATTTTCTGATTTTCAGTTAAATATACATCAAATTGTACTTGTGTAGAAATCTAACAAAATCGAGAAACTCTGGCATTGACCATGGTTACATAAATAGATGTGGTGCCACCTTATACAATCGAGATATGAAATTGAAGCTCAAACAAGGACTTGTTTGATCATAAAAATAAAAGAAAAGAACTAAGCCGATGATTTAGAGTAGTTTTTTGTCCTAGTCCAACCAAAAAATACAGACACATTTTCTTTGCGGTATAATGACCAACGATGAATTTCTACATAATTAACTAAAGGAGGAACATCATTTCTGTCCACATAAATGTGCTTCAACAAAGTTCATGAACTAGCAGAAGTTTTAGTTAGTGACTTCATATTATTCAGGTATAGCAAACACTGGTGTGGTATCCTATTGCGCTTATTGAGATGGCATCAACAAATACTTATTAATCCCAACCGTGTTCCTACTATGGAAAACAAGAAACAGATGTTCCACATATTTTTGCATATGATTTCCCATGGATCTTCTTGTTCATGTCATCTAAACATGGTGGCAATTAGCAGTCCATACATCCTTATGTGACAAAGACGAAATAGAAAACGTGTACAATCTATGACTGGAAAAAAATGACGCAAATGCTACATTGTCAGGTGCCAAAAGTTTGTTTTCTAGAATTTAGGCATGTATGAAAAGCTTCTTCAATCTAAAGATTACCAGAATGTTATTTTCTACAAATCATATTTCTCCTAGAATATTGAATATTCTTTGATGAAAGTTTTCCCTTCCATATTATCCTCGGTTTTCAGATCAATCAGCCCTTAATGAAGCTAAACAAAGGTGTCACATGATGTTTCTGCAATTCTTTCATTGTATAAAAATCCAGTTAAGAAATAAAGAATAGGAAAAAAGGACATAGTGTAAGGAAAATGAAAAAGAAGCCAAATAGAGATGCCGTATGTTCAACTGTGTTTAAGCTCTCAGATAATAACTCTGAAATCTGGTTAATCAATCAAGCATATAAATCATAAGTTTGCCACAGTTGAAAGATTCAAATGGCAAAATAACTCTGTAAAAATTCAAAGCCTACATATAACAGAAAAGAAGAGAATAACAATAACGGCAATAATAAGTAAAATATACCTTCAAGAGCATCATAATACTCCCCCAAAGGGGTACCAGGTTTCCATCGACCATAACTATCATCAACTTCAGAATTGCTGGCAGTACTCCGTATGTCAAAGAAATCCTGAGCATCCTCATCTCTTTCAGGGTCATCAGAAACAAGCTTTATTGTTCCCTCAGCTCCAACCATCCCTTTATCCAAACTTGCATCTTGCAGCTCCCCCCCACTAAATTTATCCACGACCGATCCAACCTGATCTGTATGTGCATCCCGGGGTTTGTGCTCCTCTGGATCACGCCCGTTTCCACTCACCGCTTCAACCTTCTGCTCAACCTCATACTGGTTCGGTTGTCCGTCACTAGCATCGTTCTGCAAGAAGCTCTTGGCGAGACGAGGGCCACGTCTTTTATGATTGATCATGTACGGTGACTCCGGAGGAAATGACGTAGGGGAATCCGGCAGCGGAGTGCTTTTTGGGGTGGCATAGAGGGCAGGCGAAATGTTGGGCCGAGCTATGCAATCCTTTATCGTCGTTAATCGCGCCGCCGTCCCCACCTTAATAGGCGCCGGTGGCGGCAGCGGAGCAGGGTCACGAGACGCAGGCTCCAAAAGTCTTTCCAAAGCGATCGCGGTGAAGGTCGGCATCGTTACGACGAGAAACCAAGCCAGTGAAGCCCCTCAGCTCTGGGATCGCGGAAGGCCTGTACCACAGAGAGTTGATCAAATAAGAAACCGACTCGCCTGCGAATCCATTTCCTACACGTACATCCGAGGTTATCCCTGCGTTGCCGATCCAAAACCCTAAAATCGAAGCAAGAAGGGTTCACGCTCAAATACGGAACGATCTTAAAATAGGGCACTGGGTTTGCAATCGAGGTAGCAACCAGGTCGGATTCAGGGATGTATGGATCGGGAGACGACGCAAAAGCGAAATCTAGCTGGTAAATTGACCCTAAAATTAGAGGATTATACACCAAGAAGAGGGAACCATGGAGAAATTTCGGGACAGAGAATCACCTCGAGGCGCCCCCGTTGAAGCCCTAGACCGTGCCTTCTTCCCAAGGCTTGCGGGCAATAAATAAATAGAATAACAAAAAAAAACTCGTTAATGGGACGGGGTATACGGAACACGAAAGAGACAACGAAAAGATTCACCACATGGGCAAGACTCAAACGCACTTGGTTTCCAAGACACTCGGTGGATTACACACTTATCCACCCGCTTGCGGTGAGTGTCTCTCAGGATTAGCGGACAGGATAAAGCGGGTTCGTTTGGGTACGCCGCCTTTGACGTCTTTATTTTGTGGCCACATTCAACGGGAATCTCGCGGCTTTTTGGTGACTCGTGACACGTGGGAAAGCTCTGGAAGGCTCCATAATAATCCCATTTCCACCGAATCGGAAGTCAGGTAGCGGAAGCGAGTCGGTCGTGATGTATTCCCGAGCATGTGAGTTCGGAGGAAAACGCATGCTCACGCATGGCATGACCAAATCCCAAGCACATTTAACGTCGACCAGCACGTATCCGTGGCAGAATTGGATGCCAAGCGTCACACACAAAGGCACCACATCGAACGGCAATGGGTGGACCAAATCACGTCATAACAAACGTGTTTGAGGAGGCTACGATAAAACCAAGTGTCCCGGATCAGGTCCCCACATCACATCTCCCAGAAAGGTTTCGTAGATGATTGATTGCATATCTGGAATAATACCTGATGAATGTTTGATTCCTTATTCTATGTGGATGGCTGAAATATATTGCTTCTAATAATGCTCTCCTTTTGAGCCTACCCCCTCTGCTTATTGAACTATGACCGCTCTCGGTTAAGCATGAAACTAATTCTGGACTGGTATGTATATGATTCGTCGTCCGGACTACATTGGCTCCAATCAGATCAGAGGAAAATTAGATGACAAAACACAACCTTATTTTACAGACTCACATCGCGTTTCCTTTTCCTTTTTCTCCTACAAAGACATACTGAGAGAAAGGAAGGATGATTAAACGTGAGAGAAGCTACCAGATGGATTACTCGCATGCCAGGAGGGACATCGTTGATTAAGGCTCCATCGAGAATCCTAGAGAGGCACGCTGCGAAGCACCACGGTCTCGATGGTGAGCCCGGGGCCAAACCCGAAGAGCACACCCAACTCTAGTCCGTATCCGGTGGTCGCCCGCCCCTCCCTCACCGACCGCTTCCTCACCTCGTCCATCACGAAGTAGACAGTGGCGCTCTGCATGTTCCCGTACTCGGCGAACACATGCCGCGCCGTGCTGAGCTTCTCCTGCTGCAGCTCCAGCTTGACCTCGATGGCGTCCATTATCGACCAGTTCCCGGGGTGGGCCACCCAGAAGATGTCATTCCAGTCGGTGATCCCCAGAGGCTCGAAAGCCTCCGATAGGCTTTTATCGATGTTGTCGGCGATGATCATGGGCAGCTGGTTGAAGAAGTGGAAGGTGAGGCCGACCTCCCTGAGGTGGCCTCCGACGGCTTTCTCGCTCTCTGGTACCGTCACTTGCGTGGCCGACATGATCTCGTAGATCGGCTTCTCGACGCCGTGGACGGGCTCCGCCCCGACGATGACGGCGGCCGCCCCGTCTCCGAATCCCGCCTGCCCTGCGAGCGCCTGGAAGTCGTGCTCGTCCGGACCCCGGAAGCTGAGGACGGTGATCTCGCAGGACACCACGAGCACGCGCGCTCCTCTGTTGTTCTCGGCGATGTCCTTGGCGATGCGAAGCATGGCGGCGCCCATATGGCAGGCCTGGCCGTAGAGCATGATCCGGTTGACAGACAACGGCAGGCCAAGGAGCTTTGCGAGGCGGTAATCGGCGCCGGGCATGTCGATGCCGCTGATGGAACAGAAGACCAAGTGGGTGATGTCGGAGTTGGGGCGGCCCCACTCGTTGATGGCCTTGGCGGCGGCTTCCTTAGCCAGCTTGGGCACCTCCTCCACCACGATCTCCTGCCGGGCGTCGAAAGATGGCTCCATGTAGGAGCACAGTTTGGGCCTCTCCTTGAGGATCGCCTCCGTGAGATGCAGGTAGCGCCGCTTCACCATGGTCTTCTCGCCTGCACGGAACATATAACATACGGTTGGATACGATAGTTAGGGTCGCCTTTGAACTCTGAACACAGCAAATCACTCGAGGCAAAGATGAAGAAGGAGGTAATCGTTCTTTATTCTTCTTCCAAGGATGGTATGCTAGATTTGTAGAGAAGAAAACTATATAGATCAGGGTCTTACAGATACGACGGAACTTGTGCTTCAGATCCTGCTTCTGCTCGGAGTTGGTGACGCGGAAGTAGTAGTCCGGGTACGTGCTCTGCTCGTAGAGGTTGGGAGGATTGGCGGTGCCGATGGCCATGATGGTGGCCGGACCTTGAGCCCTCTGCGCCTTGCGTATGGCGTGGAAGCTGCCCATTTCTGCAAACTCGGAAGGAATCGGCCGGCAGCAGGTATGCAATCGCCGATGATGGGTTGAGCTCAAGGGGGAAGCGGGAAGACGAGGCATAAGTACTCCCGTTCGTCGGCTATATAAAGAGGAAATGGTTCATGCGACAGTAGTAGCAAATGTGGCAGTAGGAGCACTATTCTTCATGAAATCTTATCCAAAGAATAGGCCTTTGAGCGGCCGCGCTTCTGTGTCTCCTCTGTTCCTGATGAGCGAGCCTTCTGTTCATTAGAGTTCCTTTAACGCAGGCTGATGTGTCGCCACCAACTCCCTCTGTTGCGGACGAGCACGCCGTTCCCGTCACCGGTCGCAGAATTCTGAGTGCATCCACCACGCACAGATATCGAGAGCAATCATCGAACATATAAAAAGAAGGGAAGCCACTCAAGGAAGAGGAGCGCGCATGACCAACCAATCCATTTGACGGACACGTAACGTATCCACTTGGGATTTGCTGATGCAACTACAACGTATTGCATTCGTGGATTGATGCAACAAAGGAAAATTGTCGAGGAAGAGGGTCACAGTTGAGCAGGTTGGTACTATGGCTGTCACTCGGGTCAGTTTCCAGGACGTACCACCAAACACATTATGGTTATGATTGACCAAAAAAAGAAGAAAAAGGAGGTTTTCTTTGTCCTTTTCAACTTCTTTTTGGTGGAGTGGGTGACATGCAGCTTGCGAGGAAAACAATATTTAACTCCCAAAATTAGAACATTAGTCCTTTTCCTACGATGCACTATCGGCATAGGTGATAGCAACCATTCAAATCTTTCTCGTAAGGTTTCGATCGGCATAATCTTGCGTGCAAATTAAGCTTGGTTAGAGAGAGCATCACATCACATAGGACGAGAAATTTTTTGAAACTAAGTATTTATATCTGTTTAAATCAACTATTAACAATATTGATGAGGGTAATAATGGCGACATGATGCGCCACGACGTCAGCCACGTTTGGATGACACTCTGCCCAAAGAGGTCAATAATACTGACTCGATGTACGCTGACGTCACCCGCTCTCAGACAACGACTTCATCGTCTGACCCAATATGCTTGGCCGAGGCAGAGGAGAACGACGACCAGTGTCAGACGCCATCAAAGGTACGAGCCTGCCTCCTGCATGCAGGCACGCCAAGTAACACCAAACTCCCCTATAAATACCTTTACATCCTAAACTGAGAGAGGGGGGGAGACAGAAGAGACAAACATACAAAAACCCTTCTTCATTTGAAACCCCCTCCACATCTTCCTCTAACTTGATCGTTGAAATGGTCGGATCGAGCGCCTCGATCCGACCTTTGTGCAGGTGCGAAACCGAAAGTCCTCGTCGGTCCCGCAGGCAGAGATGACCACGCCGTCCCGATCGAACACCGCCCCGACCTCCTCAGCGGGCTCGAGGAGCGCCCCCAGGGAGATCCCCGTCTTCCGGACCCAAACCGAGCCGCGTCGACCATGAGGCCACGTGTCAAAGTTGTTTCCGTAACAAGTATGATGATAAATCAGAAAAAAAATTAATACGTCTTTAAACTCATAGATAATAGTCATTGATTATTAAAAACATAATTAATTTGGATGAATGTTAACGGGAGAGTCATATTAGAAGATATGTAGTCTTTTACCCGTTTCGGGCTTTCGATTTTCGAGCTTACGGATCCCATTTTACAGTGAGGGTCCACAAAACATGAGGTCCGACCCAATAAGGTCCGACTAATCAGATGGACGGTGCTGATCTACATGATAATTGTCGGGAGGAATAAGGGGGGTCATTAATGGAAAGATGAGGCATGTTTAGGTAAAACAACATGCTTCGGGTATAATAAAAGGGCGAACCCCCAGGGGGACGGGGGAGGGGGGATAGGCTCGGCACCAACAAAACCCCAAATGGCGGCAGTGACCATCTTCGGCAGCGCTTCCCTCCACTCCTCCATTGCCGACCCTGTCCGAGGAGGGAGTCACAGGCGATCGTCGGCTCCTCGGCTTCTTCCCTCTTCGTCTACCCCGGCGCGGTTCTTCGGCACCCGCGGTAGTCGGATCTCATGCCGCTCCTCTGCGCCCGCACACTCCGCCATTTCCGGATCCAAAGAAAGCGAACGTAAGGCTTCCTCCCGTGCGCTGAGATATTTCTTCACTTGTCGATCGGTGTGCCCCATCGTCGTGTGCGATTTGATCGCTTCTGTATTTGGAGACTTTAGGGTTTCTCGACATGGGACGACCCTCGTAGTTTTTGTTGTTAATACACGATTCACGAATAGCGTAGAGATTCTCGTGCTTTAGAGGCTTTTCTATTGACCAACACCGTTATTCTTAGCTGGAAATGTTGGTTGACTGCTTACGGATGTTCCTTAGAGATCGCCAGAGAAGCATTGTCTTGTCATTACTGTTTCCAGAATTGTTTTCGTTCACCGTAGTTAGATTAAAGAGAATTCTAGGAACGATTGCGGACCAAATTCTTTAGTTTTTCTTTACCTTGGTTCATCGACATTTTTGAGAGGATAATAATTTATAGTTTCCGTCCATGCCAACTGATGATGGGCTATTCATGATCTACTTAAGAGAACTAACCCAAAACCTGCTGGAGACTTTTAAGTCACGGTCACATTCCAAACTTTTATTGTTGCAAATCTTTATGCAGTGAAATCAGGACCGAAGGATTTTCTCCACATCAGCGACTTTGACAAGGCTACAATCCTTAAGATCATCAATCAGGCAGTGGAGGTCAAGGCACTGTTAAAATCAGGAGACAGAACTTTCCTTCCCTTCAAAGGAAAGACTATGGCCATGATTTTTGCTAAGCCATCCATGAGGACCCGTGTTTCATTTGAGACAGGCTTCTTCTTGCTTGGCGGCCATGCCATTTACCTGGGTCCTGATGATATCCAAATGGGTAAGCGTGAGGAAACTCGTGATGTTGCTAGAGTACTTTCGCGCTACAATGACGTCATTATGGCACGTGTATTTGCCCATCAGGTATGATGGATATCTGCATTGGCATGTGTATTTAATACTAGGGTATCATGTGGCTATTATTTGATCTGTGTGTCTGATAATCGCATGCCGATGCTGGCATTGTCCTTAAATTGGTATTATTTCAATTTGTCCTGTAATATGATGTGTACATGCCTTTAGATTCCCTTCCACTAGCAATCCATGATCTTTTTAATTCTTCAGATTGGAAGCTTTCAGCTACCCAAGCTTGCATCTCTTGCATTTTTCTCTTCCGCGGTTCGACAGTATGAGATGTTACTATTCATGGTTTTGACATTTGAGTTTGTCAAACTATGTGATGTTAGAGAAGGTGTGAAACTTGTACACCTTCTTGCATGCTTAACTGTTGTGAGATGATTTTGTGCGTTTCATTACTGATGTTTTACCTTTATATTTCTCTACTCCAGCATTACCTTTCACGTGGATTTTCCTAGTTTAGGTAATGACACCAATCTACCAGAAATGTACTGGTACTGATTTTCATTTAAGTTAATTATAAGGAAAATCATGATCTTATGAAGATAAGATCTCGACGGACTTAGTGTCTTCTTATCTTACCGATAAATGTCGAAAACATTTTTTTTGAATCATTATACTTTAATTAATAATACATTGTGGTAGCTGTGACGAGTTTAAAAGCTTAAATTCCAAATTGCAAAGATTTTAGTGTACGATTTTAGATTAATTTGGTTTCTACAACACATTATGATATATATCCTATTGTGTCAATTTTTATTGATCTTCTTAAAATATTTGAATTATATTGTGTTAATACATCTAAATACGGTTAACAAATTCACACCACGAATTTGCAGTATATGAACCAAAGTCTTCATATACATGTTGCACAAACTCCAAATATGCAACTGTGATCTACCTCGTGCTGTTGGATAATCAAATACTTTGTATCTACACAATTCTAGTCAACATGCAGGAATCCTTTCAAAGTGCTCAGCGTACAAAATTTGTGTCAGACATGAGAGAACACCTTACAAGATGTTATGAAACTAAAACCTCTAGATTATCAAATGTATGTATACATGGATGTCTTTGACGCACCATTATGTGGATCATAAAAAAGTTTTAGCATACATGACTTGCTGTAGTTTATTTCTCATTCTTTATGTTTTTCTCTTTTAACTAGTAAATCTAGTAAACTTGTGGGACTTCCCGCATCCTATGCTGATAAATTTCATGCACGTATTGTTTATTTTGGATCATTGGAGGTATAATAGGATAATGCATCGACCTGCATATATATCTAAGATGAGGTGTATCTTATTTCTGCTGTGCATACATCTTATACTTTCATTTCTATGATTATTGCAGGATATTTTGGACCTTGCCAAATATTCTTCGGTACCAGTTATAAATGGCCTGACTGACTATAACCATCCATGCCAGATAATGGCTGATGCACTTACAATTGTTGAACATATTGGTCAGTTGGAAGGAACCAAGGTCAGCTACTTGTAAGAAAGTATTTTAAATGTGATATGATTAGAAACTAGTAGATTCTAGTTAAATTGCAATTCTCTTGCAGATTGTCTACATTGGAGATGGGAACAATATTGTCCACTCATGGCTTCTGTTGGCATCTGTAGTTCCTTTCCACTTTGTATGTGCTTGCCCAAAAGGATTCGAGCCAGATGAAAAGACTGTTGATAAGGCAAGAAATGCTGGAATTAGCATGATAGAGATTACAAATGACCCCAAGGAGGCAGTACGAGGAGCAGATGTTGTGTATTCAGATGTTTGGGCTAGCATGGGCCAAAAAGAGGAGGCTGCATACAGAAAGCAAAAGTTCCAAGGTTTTCAGGTACACTGGGCTTGATTTTTCTTCCATTTGTTCTTTTGTGTGACTAGACATAACTCACTTATATAAATGTCAGTCTCAAAGTAAAATGGTATCCGGGTTTCTTTAAATAAGGTGCTGGACAGGTTACCAATCATAACTCCCAAAATCTTATGCCAATTTTGTTGCTTCTTTAAATTACATTGGTTAACCTTAATTTACATTAATCAAACCATGCTTAGTATAACTTAGTGGTTCTCTGGCCTGAAGAAGTCTGGTCAGTTTATGGTCGAGCAATTATCATCTGTATTTGATGCAACCAGCTGAAATTATCATCTGTAGCCTCAGTGTGTGTTCTAATTAAAATCTTTAAGTTTGTTAGTACACTTGTTCTCGGGTTGAATTGTGTAGTGTGTGGTAAAACACCCAAATGATATGCCAATCATTTTTAAGTGAAAATGATACTGATGCTTAATCCACAATCTATTTATGTTTGGCAGATTGATGAATCATTGATGGAGATTGCAGGACCAAAAGCTTATTTTATGCATTGCTTACCAGCGGAGAGAGGCATTGAGGTCACTGATGGTGTCATTGAAGCGCCCAACTCCATCGTCTTCCCCCAGGCTGAGAACCGTATGCATGCTCAGAATGCCATCATGCTCCACTTATTTGGTCTCTAGGATTGTATTTGTTCCTTTCGAGAGATAAGGCTACATCTGGGCCATCCATTGACCACTCGATCTGTGTCTGTCTTCTTCTCAGTAGAATCCTCTAGTTGGACATTGTAGTGGCACTTTGTTGGGTTTTCAGTTAGTGGACCTGCCGCGGATCAGATAAATAGCGACATGTAAGGAGTTGCTTTTGTCGAATGCCGTGTCTTTTCTCCCTTGGGATCGCTGTCCAGATTGGCTTAAGCGCAACTACACACTGGTGATGATACTGTCTTACGCATCACGTTACCACGCAAGGCGCGGCGGGGAAGGTTTCATGGTGGTGTTCAGTTTAGAGTTATATTTCTGAGTATTTTTTAGCGTGTTAACTACTAGTCTAATCGATAATGAGTATTTTTTGAATGCGTTAACTAGTTTAATCAATAAATATGTTGACAGTTCATCACAAGATCCCAAATTTGAAATCTGTTTTTGCCTTCTATCAGTTCATTACAAGGTACCTATCTCCTGCTTTCGTCTCATCCTAGTAAAGAAAAAAACGTGTATATATGTATGTATAAAAGAAGGGTTAGCGATGGGAAGTCATGATGGAAAGTGGGCGAGCCCATTTCGATAAGGTAACACGGGAGAGAGGGTCATCCTGGATATAGCTGATCCGAGGCAGGCGGGAGGTCATTCGGGTCTTCACCCGATGAGTAACCCGATTCGGGTCACGGGCCTTGGCCCGTGAGTAGGTCTCTTTAATAAAGAAACCTGATCCGAGCCGGACCGGACCGGACCAACCGCGGGCCTTGACTTGGGGAGGAAGCAAAACCCTCGACGCCCGCCGCGAGCAGAAGGCCGGAAGGGGACTACTAATGTGATGATGGAGTAGATCTGAGATGTACCATCGGAAAGAACAATAACAACGGGAGAGGAGAAGAGCTGACGGAGAAGAGATGTTTCGGAACCAGTATGACACCGACGTGACGACGTGGAGCCCGGCGGGGCGTCTGTTCCAGGTAGAATACGCCATGGAGGCCGTCAAGCAGGGGGCTGCCGCCGTCGGCCTCCGCTCCACCTCCCACGTTGTCCTCGCCACCGTCAACAAGGCCGCCTCGGACCTCTCTTCCCACCAGCGCAAGGTCTTCAAGATCGACGACCACATCGGGGTCGCCATCGCTGGTCTCACCGCCGACGGACGCGTGCTCTCCCGCTATCTCCGCAACGAATGCATCAACCACTCCTTCGTCTACGAGTCCCCCCTCCCCGTCTCTCGCCTCGTCGTCCGCCTCGCCGACAAGGCTCAGGTCCCGCTCTCCCCTTCCCCCTTCTATTCCCCTTCTCTCGTCCCTTCGAGAATCCAATTCAATTCACGATCCATGAACTCTTTGCAACTTCTTTAGGGTTTAGCAAGCGATGTATCCCAGAGAGGAAATCTGTTTCGATAACATTTCTAGGTTGCCCTAAATATTTCTATGTTGGTTGCAACGGAAGCGAGGGGCAAGGATCTTAGGATTCGATGCAGGAAGAGGGAAATGTTTCGTTTCTCATTTTTGATGGATGCTCATGGATCTGATGGTGGTGTGCTTTGATTCCTTCTGCTGGTGTTGATCCCTTGTGTGCGACGTTCTTACTCATGTTGGTCTGATGGATCACTAGATTCCAAGCTAACTTGGCGCTAGCAACCAACCATAGGCCGTCGATGGTTTTTTTAGCTCTGATCATCCTCGCCCCTTTTAGATCTAAATAAGCCAGAACTAGAGAACTTAGGGAGTCATAGTTGACTGCATATTTTGTGTTAGCAAGTTAACAAGTTTCATTGGTTATGTTGCACATTTTTGTTACCATAAGCAGTTTAACCTTGCATCACACTGGTCTAAACAGTTGTGTTACCTGGCTATTATTCGTTCTCATGTTTAGGTTCCCTTTGGTGGTATTTTTTTTTAATGTTTTGTTGGAATGCCACCTCTTTTGTTGAGAGCAACAGCTTTACTGCAATTTCAGATTATTATTGGAATCCATTTCCATAGTTGGATGACCCTGTCAATTGACACTTTTTCATCATGTTTGTGCTTTCTTATAGCATTTATATACTATTTCCTCTTTCTTTAATGCATTTCTAGCGTCATATCTCGCACTTCCAATTTAGACTTTTGTTATCTTTTATTTATGTTATTTTTCATATGCATCAAATTAATTCTCTGCAGATTCAGTTATATGTAGGAATCTTAAAAGTCAGTCAGTTGTCTACGTTAATTTGCCTTTTTTTCTTGTTTGTGCTCTTCTGGATTTTATGCTATTTTGTCCTTCTTAATATACTTTATAATCTATTGTCATGCTCTCACTTTAGTTAGACTAATTTTGTTATCTTATAATTTTTCTGTATTGGACTACTTTTCTGCATTTGCAATTGTTCAAGATGTCCAATTCTTTTAAAGCCTAACATGCTGCCATGAATTATGTCGAAATATAATCTATAATTAGAGCTCCTCCATAGAATGGATGTCTGTGTGGCCATTGGGCTTGGAGGGTTAACGTCCTCCATTTAGATTTTGCAACAACCTGCCTTACGGCCGTGTGTTTACCCTCATATTTTGTTAATTTCTTTTGTTTTTGTTGTATTTTTCATGTCATAATATTTTTTTCTTTGCTTTTTTTTATTTTAATACCAGATTCCACTGAGCTTGGCACTAAGTGGGCCTTGCCTATCAAAGCCTTGCACGTTGCCTCTTGCGTGGCACTTAAGTACCGTTAAGAGTTTTACATCTCAGTGCACCTCTAGCCTCTGATAACTTGTGTGGTCAAAATACTAGAGTTTGTCCGTGGAATGTGGGTGCTGTGGGTCAACAAAATTGGGTATTTAGATTTGTCCAAATTTCTTAAGGAAAAAAAGAGGGAGAATGTTCAGAAGCCTGTCAAGTGCTAAATGAAATTCTAGGAAATCCAATTATCCTCACAGAAAAGCGTGCTACAGGAGCAGCCTAATCCAATTTTATTTGTGCTGAGATGTGGCTGATCTTATGGTTGTTTCTTTCTCCATTGTCCATCAAACATCTACAAGATCATATTTCATTTCAAGCTTGTTCAACCGAGTCTAGTGAAGACTAACTGTATTGAATAGCTTGGCCAGGTTAAAAATCTATGTTTAATTTCTTTCTATGTCAGTACCTGCTTGCTAATTCATACTGTAACGTATCACTTCATCAGTTGGTGATTTTTTTTCCAATTGCACAAGTGGGTTATTTCCTCTGTATTGAAATAAAGAGGTGACGGTAGTACTATTATGTTCAAAGAGTAGATAAAGGATGTTAGAAACCATACAGTCATCAGGATAATCAAATTCAGTGTTTTCTGTCATCACTTCATAGATGTCATTATAATTCTTTGTAGCGTGATTTTTTTTTTGATAAAAAGTGAAGTGAGTGCACAATTCTCCGAAGCTCTTTTTTATTTTTATTTTTTGCTTTATTGTTAATTGTGTTGATTTATTATTTACCAACTTATGGACCATTTCCTGTTATACAATTATGGATAAAGAATATACACCTTTAGTTTTTCATTTATTATCCTGATTTAAAATTTGTAGCCATAAGGATACAATAAAAAATCATAGTTTGTTCGTTTTTTTTATAGCTGTTGCAACCCAATCTCGTGTCAATGCTCCTCCGTTTTTTGCAAATATTTATGAAGATTTAACATCAGACTTGAACAATGCGGAGGCACATATTGTGAAAGTACAAATCACGTTTTAACGAAAAAATGCAGAAAAAATAAGACTTGAAAGTGCCATAGAGCCATAGAGAATGAAGAAGAATACATTGTGGTTCAATTATCCTCAAAACATATGATTTGCCACCATAGTTGGTAAGTTCTGCCTCCTAATATAAAATAGGCATGCACTAAATTTTGATATTTGACTCTTTACTTTTCTATTAATTTTGAAAGCTTTTTCCAGCTCATTTTCTATTACTTTGGTTATGACTATTATTGACTTGTGAAATACCTATTGGTTGATCTATAATGCCCCATTAAGGTGGGTGATGGGTTTCGTATTCAATTTTTTTAATTAATTAATTAAGATATAATTCTTTTTTATACAGTATTGCATCTATATGCATGTTTATGTGTTTGAGAGATGAGTTTATGTCAAAATTTCCTTAGATTTGTTAATCTATGCAGGAGACTACCACCTTTACATTATTGATCATTTATTGTTATTCTTCAATTGATTTTTAATTTACCTTTTTATGCTTGAGAAGAGGAGCCTTGGCACCACACTGCAGTTGTTTCTGTGCGACTTCAGTGACTAGGGTTGAATTCTATATCTCTCTACTTGTAGAGGTAAGTTGGTAGACTATGATTGTAACACCCCGATTAGTCTCACATCGGAAGTGGGTAAGACTAAGATCGACTTATAAGAGTCTGATGAGTGTACTATCATCGACTTTAGCTTAAACATATTGATCAATGGTTTTGGTCAAACGAAGTTGATGGGCCAGTTAACTTATCAAGCCCGAGTCGTAACAATGATCCTCCCTGAACCCCACAATAGTGTGATCCTTGTCCACTAAAATATCTTTCTTTTACACACATCTTCTTTATGATTCTCTATTGAATCTATCTCTTTAGACTTTATCCAGGGATTTGGTGTGAGCTACGAAAGATTCACCGGGTGGGCATTTTCTCTTATCTTGCCCATTTCTTGTTTTAGCTGATTTTAGCTGCATGTTTGTTGGTTTTAATATCTTCAAACTTCATATTATTTTATGGAAATTGATATGAGGGGTTCTGTGGCATCATAGTTGTAATGTCTATTGCAGGTCTGCACACAGCGTTCTTGGAAAAGGCCCTTTGGCGTGGGTTTACTTGTTGCCGGATTAGATGAGACCGGTGCTCACCTCTACTATAACTGTCCCAGTGGTAACTACTTTGAGTACCAGGCATTTGCAATCGGATCCCGCTCCCAGGCTGCAAAAACTTTCATGGAGCGCAGATTTGAAGCCTTCAACGGTTATTCTCGTGATGAACTGATCAAAGACGCACTTTTTGCCATAAAGGAGACATTGCAAGGAGAGAAGCTGACCAGTTCCATCTGCACCGTTGCTGTTGTCGGAATTGGCGAGCCATTTCATATGCTTGATCAGAAGACAATACAGGAAGTGATTGATTCAATAGATATCAAAGAAGATGATGCTTCTGCTGCAGCTGCAGATCAAGCTCCCATGCAAGAGGAGG